AGAAAGATTGTTTTCTGCAATCTATATAATCTGCTCCACAACAGCAAGTATGCTTGTGAATGCGCATTTATATATTTTTTACAAACCAGTTAACTAATTCGAAATATTATTCTTTATTAATAGTAATTTGTTCTGAAGTGCTAAAAAATCTTCCACTTCGTTTGTCAACATTTCTATTGAGAAAAATGTCATCACTGATGCAACCTCTCACCTTTTTTATTCGTTATAGTAACATCGTCGATGAAATAAAACTAGTGAAGCTAGTGAAAAATCAAAATTTGATCGAATCTGAATAGTACCTATAAATCTTTCACTATTTTTTAATCTGTACTTTATAGAAGCAATGAGGTTACTGAATGCTTTCAACAGGAATCCGCTAAGATTTTGATTGATACAACAGGAAAAATAAAAAGCTAGTGACAAATGTGGGTTCTGTTGATGCTCCGATAACATGATGATTATGCTTACACTTGGTGATTAGTTAAAAATTATGACATATATGGGAAACACATAGATTTACTACAAAAACCTGTGCTTTAAATTATAGTGAACAAAGTTCACACGAAATTAATATGAAGATTATCACACGGAATAAACGGTACACTATAATTAAATCAGTGTTTCACTGGACGAAATATCATGCCGATCGATTATCATACTGACTACTACACCCGGCTGAAAATGTGATCTCACTATTTCATTCCAACTTAGTAGACATAAGAGTAATTGTTGGATCAGTTGTGTACATTTGCTCAAATGATGATGAATTGATTGTTTATGTTAATTGTTTAAATATTCGTATTATTTTTTCTTCGAACAAATTAATACATTACGCTAATCTAGTAATTTTTTAAACTTGAGAATCGACATCTCATTGACTGTTATCAACATAATTGAATAAACGTTTAATAAAAAATTATTCCCTTTTATAGACTAGTAAGTGCTACTTAGTATGATCTCAACCCAAAATAATTTTCCTTGTTCATAGTTCTCTATGTATGCAATCAATACAAGTGCAAAGATCAGATGGATATTTTTGACCTCTGAGGTATGAATTACCCCTGGATCTCTATACTGATTAACAGTTACCTTTTCAATAAACGATTAGATTGAATGAATTGAGAATAACTTTGAAATTCAACTAATTTATTGAATAGCATGAGAACAGAATCACAAATCATACTCTTGGTTTTTTCGTTAAAACCTACATTTCATCTTGATAAATGATTAGAAAGTTATTCGTTAGCTTGACATACATGAGTAATTATTGTATGTTTTAATTACGCTGTTATAACTTGTGGCCTTGTTGCCTTATCAATATATGACGTAATGATACCACCAATTAGAGAATAGTGAATTATCGACCGGACCAACGACGCATGAGATCCGTACGAGCAATCTAGAGTCATTATCGGTTCTCCTTCTTGCCTAGCCCTGCCTGTTAAGTCCAGAACACCCAACTCAACCTCTGCGATATGAATAATGTATTCAAAACATACAGGGTTTATATACGAACAAAACAGATCACATGGCACCACAAAATAGGAAACAACATTTAGCCAAATATGGCTGTGAATGTGGGAGACTGTAAACAATAGACTGGGCATATTTCAAGGACGGTAAATCGTATAACAATCACGAACTTATCTAAGTTAGACAAGTATTAGTTGGTCATTTTGTTCTATTAGTGTTTGGTTTACAGAAAACTTTAGGACATCTAAATCTGCACTTAAACAAAGGAATATTTGAATATTACCATCGTTAGTACTATAGAATTCAGTTGATCAGTATTTTTCAACAATATGTGCGTGCTAAGAGAATCGCTTCAATAGTAAAACCTAGGCGGAAACATTTCTAAATGAAGTTTTGATAGTGGGTAATATTAAAATCCGTTACCAGCTTTTCTTCCTAATCAGGTCTCAAAAGCTGAATTAATCTGCACCTGTGTCGACGTTTATGTCAAGACTTGAACATACTACTGTCAAGTAAGACAATAGATTGAAGGAAATTGCAATTAACACGAGAAGTTACAAAGTACAGAATTAATACAGAAACATACCTCTCAATCCTCCATTTGCATACTTCAGTGTGTTCTGCAGTCCGAACTGTCAACTCGACTGGCCTCCAACTACTCTGCCGACGCCACGCTTTCGGTACTCTGAGATTCCACTCTATCAGACAAATGTTATAACTTAGATGACAGGTTCCACTACGCACTACTTACAAACATCCTTGTGAGTAGCGTTGTGAACGTATCTACGAATAGAAAATCCACATGAAGACTACCAAATAGGACGAAACCGAAGATCTAAATTTCTCTGTTAGTAACTATCAAAACTTTGTGTTTAGTTTATAGTTCAAAGTTCCATATCATAGTCTGGTTTACTTAGACAATCAACAAAAACCTGAGGCATCATACAATCATCTCTATCTGGTATAAAAATCCTCACCATTTCGCAACCTATTTCATAAGCAATTGGAATGAACTCTTTGATTGTTCTTGATTTACTGAAAAAGAGTTGAATGCATTGAAAGACTTGAAATGGGAAAATTAAATCGCTTTATCTACTAGAATACAGTTACACTCGAGTAAATTCAAATGATATCTTAATCTAGATAATTTTGGGAGCCCCTTAGTGTTTTTGATTAATATCGAACTTTAAAACAATTAGTTCATTTGATAAATTTCGATAATGCAAGACGAAGTTTATCAGAATTATGTGACGAAATATTTGCGCAATACATTTCGAACAATCTGATCACATGTAATGTACTTGTTAAGACATTATTATATGAAAATTAATAGGTCAACTAGACAGGTTAAAGGTAAGCCGTAACAAAGAAATAATAATAAAATACACAAAAACAATGTGATAACCACTCTGGATAATAAGTCAGTATTACTAGGTTAAGTTAAGTGTAAGGACAAATTGTTTTCTGAACTCATTAAAGGGGTTTCAGTTTCCGTATAGCCAAGGCTTCAATAAACCATAGTATACGTCCTTGAAGGCTTTTGTACAACACTACAAATGCTGACTTGATGTCAACTTTATAACCAGTCTCAATCAAATGTTTCGTAATGGAGGATGATGTCTGTCTATCCTGTGATTTTATTTGATTATTGGAATTCCTTTGTTTCTGAAACCATTTTGGTATGTGTTCACCCATATTGATTTTCTTTAATTAAAAAATAGTTGTTCATTCAACCAGATTGTACAGATGTTCTGGTCATGAATTGATTTTTTGTTAAAAAAAACCCACTAATAATGTACAATAAAACATTTGTAAACAAATTAAAACAACAAATAGATATAATGTAATTAGCAAATGAGAAAAAGATCATCATAATTTACACAGAATATGTAAATGTAAACACAGAAACAAACAAACAATAAAATTATCCCATTATAGCAATGAATATAATTGTTTTAAATACCTAATGTAGATACATGGGGAATAATGATAATAATAATAATATCTTATAATTCAAAATCGTTGAACATTCCTGTCATTATATAGATTTTCTGCAGCAATTTGAATGACTCTCCCGGTCTCCCATATTGTACGAGTATTTCATGTACCTAAATTAATGGTTGATTTGGTTGTCAGATGGGACATCAGCCTCGTGACTTCCGAAGAGACTCGGCTTTCATCATGGGGCGTCATAACTTTTCTAAATGAAGACCTAACTCCCAGGGTAGATTTTAAATGATTTGAATTATTTTTTCTGGTTAGTGTATATTTAGCGAGTTAGAGTTCTACGGTATGGCGTTGCTAACCCCATGCCCAACTCTCCATCTTTATACGATCTTGAGACTGGCAGTAGTCCCCGAGGGGTTCTAAGCAAGATTATAGAGATTTAGTAATTGTCAAAGTTAATTGTATTATGACTTTAACGACCGAAATGTCAATATTCAGTTTGAACACAGAACTGACGAACTAAAATTTATTCGATTAGGTCAGATTATGTTCTTTTGTATAGCGTTCAAAGTGTCTTTGAGTTGACTGGTATTAAATTATATCAAAGCACAAACTCTGTGTTCAGTTTAAACGGTTCCAATTTAAAAAAGAGAATGGATCATTAAAAAATACCTTAAACGATACACCCTGTTCTATAGAGTCAAGGGTTTCTCTAACACAAACTAATGCACTGAACAACAAAAGGAATATAATAAATATATTTTTGTTATATTCCAATGAGAAAAATTGTATTTTTTACGTTTCATGACTTAATGAAAGGCATTTCTTCAGAGTAAATATGTAAAAGAAATTGAATTACCACAAGTTGAAACTATCAAGTTCAATCTTGGTATCGATACCAACAAAAGGAGTAATTAATAAACAGGTGTTCGATACCTGTGAGTGAATAAAAATATTCTGAACAAGATGAGATCAGATGTCCATCTGCAGAGAATCCGATAATCTTTCTGAGCAGACAGTCAAACATTACCAGTCATACACTGAACCGCGCCGTTTAGTCAAACACGACATTATTGTCAATGTTCCGTCAACATGCAAATAATAAAAGATATATCTTCAGCCAGGATCACACAATAAAATCCTCGACAAAGAAGACTGAAAAATATAAAGTATGGTTAACAAGCTACATGAATAAAAGTTAAAATACAAGACAAGGAGAAGGAACAAATAAATGACAACACTGTCCAATCAAATTCTGTGGAGGGATTTTTAACGTTTTCTTTCCGTTATATGCAGAGATGGTTAGTGGCCAGCAGTAAAGTCCAGTTTGATGCACGTTTCGTCCTATTTGGGGCTCGTCAGCTGGATGTACCTACATCTCAGAGATGACGTTCACGCATGGACTCGAACTCAGTACCGTTCACTTCAAACGCCATCGCGTTATCCAGCTGGCGAATTCCAAATAGGACGAAACGCGCATCAAACTGGACTTTACAGCTAGCCAATATCCATCTTCGTATATAAAACCTACTTTGTTTGCTTTAATTTTGATTTCCTTTTTTTATTTTAGTTAACAGATGAATTCTTCATCTTTTTATGCTTTCTCATTGGTTATATTATATCTGTGATAAGTGTTATTAGTGGAATTTTCATACTTCAATATTTTCGGTAAGTAACATTATGTTTGTATTCAGAGTTGAAAGAAAAATGTAAACATTAAATACTGTTTACGTTTCAATTTGATATACAAGGGGTAGATTTAGTGATTGAACTTATGTTTTAAATTGAAGTATAAGGCGTTAATGAAAAACAAATCCTTTTAATTTAATTAGACGTTTCAAAAAGAACCATAATGATAAATAAATAAATAAATAAATATTACAATGATTCGTTTGCATGTAGAGCAATGGTTATATATGAGTCCATAGCCTGTGATTCGATGGTCATAGTAAATCAACATCTTCAGTCACAAGATTTTAGCACCTCTAGCTTTTATATGTTTTTTTCACAAATCTCAAAACTGTCATAAGACGGGCTGTACTTGGACGATTTAAAAGTCATGAAATGTGCAAAGACGAATTATCTAGATAGTCTGAATTCTGAGGATTTTGTGGAATGTTTAAAAAATCGGAAACGGTGCTAGAACCAGTGTGCTGACACAATCAGGGAGAAATTTAAAGGTACATTTTAAAGTTTGTAAAACCACTATTTTATCACTTCAGATCATATATATATGTTGCACAAAGCAATACTTTAGGTCCAAAATACGACTGTCATCTCATTATCTACTTTTATCTTACAATAAGCAACTGTTTCTTTTAAGAATCCATTAAAAGTATTTCACATGCAATTTTCAGAAGGTTCCTTTGAATATCCAAGCTGTTGTATGGACATAGGTAACTATCTTCAAAAGTAAATCCAAATATATAATGCGCTTACACCTCATCTATTTTCATGAACTTATCTAAATCAGTCAATTATTTAACATTTTATCTGAAACAAACCAAGTAAAATATCATATAAACAATAAAATTAGAATCGTAATAAGCTGGAGTAAACTAACAACGTCATAGCATTTTATTATAAAGAAGCTTCATTTCAAGTAGAACTAAGTATACAATATAAATTAAATTAGTTTATCAGTATTAAGTTGTGGAGATTATTAAGTTTTTAATTGAAACCATAAACTGATTGATGTTAGAATACCATTGAGAACCCGAATGGAATGGACGGTCTGTTGTGGGACTCCTCAGCAGTGCTTGCGGGATCATAGATGGTGTATTTGTGCTCTATTCATGAAATTAAGTCATATTCAAAATGAAAATCATGCCATCTAATTTTATGTAAGCTATCAGCTATTCAGATGGATTGAGTTTTCTATTTTAAGAGCATAAATATTATAAAATATGTATTATCATTTGCATTATTTGTTTATTGTCGTTGTCATTTAACTTTGAATTCTTTAATTAAAGTTTAATTTTTTACTGAATCACCACACAAATGCTGATCATTTTCCGTCTAAAAGTTTTTGCTTTGTATATCTACAATCTTGTTAGTTCTGGAAGTCAGATAAGCGAATCGTCAAATCCTTTTACATAACTTTAAAGTATGGGCTAGATCATAATTCAGTTTCAATGTGTTTCAATGTGACAAACATGTGAACAACCAAATGAACAAATAGACTTTACTGTTTATCATTCCTAACAAAAGGTGTACCCGAACAAGAACATAACTAACAAAACTTTGGTCTTAAAAGATATTACTTATGCTTGATGATGACACAAGCGACACTTTCTTATCAAGTTCAAAAGTCACTATATTTGATCTTCTTTAGAAAGTACTCATTAAAATGCTAATATTCAGCATTATATATCAAACATAGCAACGTAATCTTGAACTTAATGTGTAAGACAATAAAAAACTAGAGCTTAAATCGTTAAACGTTAATTAACTTGTAATGAAATATTGAAAAAAATGATGCGCAGATAAGTAGTTTTTGTTCTATTTATTTGTATCCTTAAGTGACTAGAATAAAATTAGTCAGTTATTGAGAGCGGAAAATATATTTTAGTGTTCAGGTTAAGTTATTCCTTTATTCTTATGAGATAAAATCAGTAAGGCGATGATAACTTGAAGAAAGTCTCAAGATACATTTGATCTAAATGGTAGAAAAAATTATTCAGTACTTTTAAATGGGAACCTAATAAACCTATTATATATATATATGGATGGTATATCATGAATGTATTGTAAAAGTAGAATGTAAGGAATTGATTCATAGTCCATAGGAAACTCTCAGTATGGAAACTTAAAGCTTAGTTTTCTATCTTATGTATTGTAGCAGATGATTAGTGACACAACGTCTCAAGTTAACAGTAACTCTAGTGTTTGAAACCAACCATTATCTGCTTTTTGACGTTTATGATTATATCACATAGGATCATTGAATTTATGTCGATGTAAAATATTTGCTTTAATGTTTGAAGATTATTTTCATCTATTCTACAGGTCACTAAAATGTGTACGTAATAATATTCATACTCATTTAATGATCGCCATACTATTACGTGCTTCTTCATGGATTTGTCTAGCTTTAATAAATACAACTATGTTGGTAAGTTTGGAAACAAAAAGAAATTCATTTAATTTTCACATGTTTAACATGTTCTTACAGTAGTTCCTTAAATCATCTCGACGTATGATAACTGAAACGTAGTAAAGTTTGATTGAATTCACGATCTGTCATATTTTTCAGTACAGTTGAATGACTCGTGTGAAAACATATTCAAGTTTTTCGTATTCACTTTTCAATCGAATGAGAAAATTTGACGAACTTCAACTAAGCTAAATAGAATCAGAAATCTTAATCATCACATGCTTACTAATGAAGGTCTCTAGGAGGTGTTTCCTGTAGTTCTAGTGAGAAGCCGTGACCAGTGGAGTTCAACCGTTGTTGTGAGACAGTTACTCACTGATCACAATAGTGTAAGATGGCTCAACTTAGTCGATTGATTTAAGCTAAATATACTTTTAAAAAAAAATTTTATATAAATCGAATATTCACTAAGTGGTGTACCTTTTCAATTTGTATATCCATCTTCATGGGATCGTTATTATTAATCTTGAACCAACAGAGTGTTTGTTAAGTTAACACAACCATCCAAAATGATCCCAAATACAAGCTAATTTCTAGAATTTTGAGTTATGTGATATCAATTCAAAAAAGATCATATTTTAGTTTCTTTCCTAATCTCATAAAGGTTTATAGTCCTAAAAGGGACAGCCTAATTGCACTGTGGTGTGTGCTACTTATCTCGACATAAGTAGTACATAATGATAGTCAGGAATAGAATGTCTGGCAGCAGAAGCCCAAGAAGTTCGAAGAGATGTGTAAAGGTTTCCCAGCAACTTTGATTTACATTTCTTTGTAAAATTTAACTTAACCTTTGGTTAGTTTAATGCTGTTTAATTGAGATCGCAAAACGAGTATGAAATATATATAGTTGATAAATTGTTCTGTCTAATATCATCGCACTCTATTTTGCATGGTATCATCATTTTACATTCTTAGTTATTATATCAACATGTAATTTACTGATAATTGGTTAATCACGATCATGAGAATAACCCTAGCAATGTTTCACTTGATCCTCTTGATTAAATTCAACAACGGATATTATAGGGTTGTGGAGATTATTAAGTTTTGATTGAGATTGTGCACTGATGGATATTAGACCACCATTGAAAACCTGGGAACACTGGACGGCCATTTCGTTCTATTGTGGGACTCCTCGCTCGCGGGATTCGAACCCAGGGCCCTCGGTTTCGTGCGCGAACGCTTAACCTCTAGACCACTGAGTCGCCATCCAATCGTGCGAGGAGTGCTGATGGTTGATTCATTTAATAATGAGTAACAGTTATAATATTCATAATACCACATAGTTTTTAAAAAAATAAAATTTTCAATGTTTCACCATGTCTTTTGATTAAAATCATGAATCGATCGCTGTTAGATCACCATTATAAACCTGATAAATTCACTATATACCATAAATTGACATTTCTTTCTAAGAATAAATGAATATTTTCAAGTTAATATAAGTTTCAAGAGTACAAAGAATAAATGTGGATAAATTAAATTTAAACAAGTACTATTCATAGTGATCTATGAAGATTCACTCATTGCAGTGTAAAGGTAACTTTAGATTCTTTCTTATCCTTTGGATGATTGTTGGATAACTCACTTTTTAAAAATAATAGATTATCTTTAGTTTAGTTGTTTATTTACACTGACTAAATGAAAGAAAGAAAGAAACGAACAAACAAACAAAAAACCTAATCAATAGTGGTTATATTATCTTTTTCTCTTCTTATTTATATTAAACAACTGTTATGTAGTATATAAAAATAAAACATCTCTATTGAATAAATCAATATTTGTCTTCATTAGTGCTAAAAGAATAGTGATATCTATCTATCTCTCTCTTTGTAAAGAAAGAAAGAAAGAAAGAAAGAAAGAAAGAAAGAAAGAAAGAAAGAAAGAAAGAGAGAGAGAGTGAGAAGAGGGGAAAAGATAAGTATGAAATATTGAGAAATTAATTGCTTTTCAAAGAGATTTCGAACTTTTTTTTTCCTTTTTGCACATTTCTGCAGACATTATCACATTTATGATGACCTTGTTGTTTCTTCTTCTTTATTATATATTTGTAAACCCTATTGAATTGTCTTTATTTATTGTTTTATTTATTCTAATTAACTGTTTATTTGATTATAAGTCGATATAATCTCTACAATTTGTATGCTTCGAATCTCATTTTAATATTATTATAAACAATATATCTTATCAGATTATCATTATGCCATTTATACATGATGTCATTATTCACACACACACACACACACTTAATGGTACACTATATTTCACTCATTTTCTACTTTCATCTCCTAATATTATTCTTAATGGATTTGTCCCTATTAAGCGGATTAATAAGTGAAGAGCACATGACAATTATAGTAAAATAATGAAATATATTCATAATATAAAAAAATTTACTAATATTTGATGATCTACTAACCTTAGAAGAATTTTTGTCACTGTCACTGTTTCCATTTTCTAAGAGTTCAAAAATGAAAAAAAAATAAGACGAGACTACAATTGATGGAGGAACCAATCATTTCAGTAAATAGAATTTTGGCATTATAGCTAATGTCAGTTCGTGATGATAACCCTAAATTTAATTTCTAACCTTAATCATCAACTGTAAATCATAATTCGAATTCCTCACACTAATTTATAACCCTCATTTTGTCCTAGTTATTAGGTGGACACTGTCAAGGTCAGTCTAGTGTCTGTCAAAAGTCATCCATAAATTATGGTCTCATCCAACATACTTTTACACTAGAGTAAAATTTAATATCAATATATAATAACATGATGTAACAGAGATATAAATAAAGTTTTAAGGTTATTGTTCATGAACTAATCTAATGGTATTTTATTTGGAATATATATATATATGTAACATAAAGAAAACAAAGAATTGTCTCATGACTTAATCATTTGTATAATTTGTGTAATTGTATTTTTTTTACTGACGGAATAATGGAGATCAACTTAATTTTTAAATGTTACTCATGGATTTGCTATGTTTGAAAAGATTACGAGTTCATCTAATCTGAGAACGGAACAAAGACTTTGTTCCGACGCGTCACAGCCCAGCTAACTGGAAAGATAAGTCCAAGTTCGGAAGAAGGAAATATATTTTACAAGCAGCTAGAAGCACGGACAACAACAACAAGCCCAATCAAGCGTATACACATCATAAGAATGTCCTTGGGAAGCGTTACAAAATAGCCTACTAAAAGATACAACGAACCAATATCGTTTAAGATCCTCCCAAATGGGAAATACGACATGAAGGTAAAAATGAGCGCTTTTGGCATAAAAACAAGAAATCCAAATTTTTAAAATAGAATTACAAAAATAAAGTATTTTAATCGTCTAAAGATCCCCGTCATATTAAAAGACTAGTATTTGAACGAAGAATATTCTTTTCGATAAATTCTCATCAGGTTCTACAGTTATATATCCAAATTAATAATTCGAAAAAATGGCCAGGTTAAGGGCAAAATACATCGTTTAGAGCATGTGAATTTAGAATTACTTCTTACTTATTTGATTGAATTGTAATTGCACTATTATTTTTGTCTCACCCTATTTGACCCATATTTATTCTTATCATGGATCTTAAAATTTTACTTAACATATAAGCTGATTCAAGTTTACATTCTATATAAGTCATATTAGCATTAACAATTTTATTGTATTTTGTTTATCACAATTCTAAATTCACATGCTCTAAACGATGTATTTTGCCCTTAACCTGGCCATTTTTTCGAATTATTAATTTGGATATATAACTGTAGAACCTGATGAGAATTTATCGAAAAGAATATTCTTCGTTCAAATACTAGTCTTTTAATAAAGTATTTACCAAATGAGTTCTGCGGATCCAACATCCCCAACAGGATTGAAATCAGTCAGACAACTATTGAAAACCCAGAGATTATGACACTCGAGTAGCTGACATTTTGTTTCCCTTAAATATTGAAACTTAGGATTCCAGGATAATATCCAATCATTCATCAGTTATCCAGTCTGTCATCACTTTGATGCATAGTGTTTGAATTTTCCATGGCGTTTTCACAATTAAACAAAATGAAAGTACAGGCGAGTACAGTATTTGTCCATGTAGTTTTTCCATTATCTACCCGTTTTTGTTTGTGAATTGAAAGAGAATATTATATTCTAAACCATGACTTTGACTTTAAAAGTACGTTAGTACGAAAGAACCATTTAATTCAAGGACATAAGTGTAAATATTCATGATGTGCTCATATTACTTGGAATTTTACATCTTGTTTATTCAGAAGTTTTTCTTTTTTTTACCTCAAAAAACGAACGTGTACCAGGTCTATGTCCAATTTCATACCAAAAAACGTATATGATGGTCGATGATGTATTCTACATTAGATTAGACTCAACATAAAATATATGATTATTGGTCATTTTGAGACACCCCTACTTTAATACTCATCTTAAAATAAAGGAGTGAGAATGTATAAAATAAAAATAATCCTTTAGAACCATAAGTTTAGGTTAGAAATGTGAAACATAGAAATTTATCTCAGTGAACAGAAATGTTTTATGAAATCCAACTGTCCTGGATACGCTCCTTGGTGCTATCATTATTACACACTGTTAAAGAATCCAAAACTATGATAACATAACTGCCGATGGCTCCTAGTTTTTGCTAAATTTCTAGATAAGGTTGCTCCATAATGTAAACTAAATATAATATAAATTAAACTTCTCAAACTGAATGAACTATATGAAAAGACCTAATTATCAACTTTTTTAAATTATCAAAATTTTAAATACCAAGTTAAATTTAGAGATTAACTGACTAATTGATTTTATTCAGGGTAGGTTGACATCTATACTATCAACCGGGTTTCCTATCCACTTATACATTGAATAATTTCTACCTAGTGATAAATTATTGTAAGCATCTCACTTTCATAGGAAGTTAGCATTATCCCGAATTGTTCTGTAATAACGTCTCGGACTATGAAACTGAATGACTGCAGTTCAGATTCTTTGGGGAATATCATTCCCTTTAACATTGCTGATATACCTTGCTGACTATTGTCAACTTGGTACGAAATCTACTTCCATACATTTCTATTGACTACCTTAAACCATCTATCATCAATTTAGTATTTGTTATTTTATCATTCTTATTTAAATTTATTATGTTCTCTTCTAAGACAAGAGTTACATAATTATTCTTTGTTTATATATCGATTGATTCACTGTTTTTCTTACATCATACAAATATATAACACAACTATTATTTTGATTGGACCAACATATAAGATCATGTGAAAGTTAATCGGAAAGCATTAGTAATAGTAATATAAAAATACAAAATAAACTAGTTTATTCTGGGATATATATCCTAACATCTTTATAATCATATTTAACATAATTGTAACATATGGTTCATACATAAACATAGATTGGAACAAAGTTTGTTACTTATAATATGATCTCATTAAGAGATAATTATAATACATTATTACTAATTAAATGAAAATTCAAGATTATTAATTTAATACTATGGTAATTGGTTTATGATTTGTGAAGGTTAGTCAATTTGAAAGAGAATTTTTCGTTATACAAACTCAAGAACTCTGGATATCTTAAACGTTCTAGTAATCTGAGGTTCTTTATTCAGTTAGGTATGTAGTGATTAATGCCTGCTACATGTGATTTGTTCGTCAACCAACAACAAGGTCAGAATTTTCAATACAAATGTCAAGACAATTCTATTGTATGGGGCGGAAACTTGGAAAAGTACGAAAGCCACCATCCAGAAGATACAAGTGTTTATTAACAGTTGTCTACGTAATATACTTCGGGTCCGTTGGTCGGACACTATCAGCAACAACCTACTGTGGGAGAGAACAAACCAGATCTCAGTGGAGAAAGAAATCAGGAAGAAGTGCTGGAAGTGGATAGGACACACGTTGAGTAAAGCACAAGACAAGCCCCCACATAGGATCCTCAAGGCCAAAGGAGGAGAGGAAAACCAAAGAACACATTACATCGAGAAGTGGAGACAGACATGAGAAGAATGAACAACAATTGGATAAGACTAGAAAGGAAGGCTTAGAACAGAGTGGGTTAAAGAATGCTGGTCGGCGGCCTATGCTCCATTAGGAGTAAAAGGCGTAATTAAGTAAGGAACCTCAATTTCCCCTCTTCTGTGATGTCAGTGATCCATACTCTTAGTTTCACTGTATTGAATACCGTTTTCAAATTAATATTAATCAAGAAAGCACTAAATGTCAATAACTGGTTGATTAACTGACTCATTTATTTGTCGAAATGTTTTAAAAAATTACTTTTAACTAAAATAAAAAATCAGTTTAGCGGTTGTGGAGATTGTTAAGTTTTTGACTGAGATCATGAACCGATTGATGTTAGACGAGCATTGAAAAACTGGAAGCACTGGGCGGCCGTTTCGTTCTGGGTTCGAATCCCACGAGCAGGATTGTGGATACGCACTGCTGAGGAGTCCCACAATAAGACAAAACGGTCATCCAGTGCTTACAGGTTTTCCATGGTGGTCTAGATTCAATTGACTCATGATCTCAACTATTCAAATAGTATTATACAAATAGTCGATATGTCATAATAGTAGCAACAACAATATCTTAACTAGTAGATAGTTACAATTCCTAATATTTTCTGACTTAATGAGGTCAATATTTTCAGAGAAGAGATAAACTTTTTCTTTTTAAATGAACACATGTTCGACTAGTACAAGGAATAAATTAAATCAACTATTTAGTACATGCATAAATAAGTTTGGTTATGCTAATATAGTGTTATAAAGTCAAGGGTAAATCTTTATTCTTTCATTCATATATGTTTGTGAGTGAGTATGAAAATTATGTAATACTTATACACATGCTTGCCAGTCCCAGAGTGAACATCAACTCTGAAATGCAAGTACATCCAGCTGACAAGTCCCAAATAGAACGAAACGCACGTCAAAACTGGATTCCACTACTAGCCACTATCCATCTTTGCTTTGATAAACAGTTATGTTTAGAAAATAAACACAGTTGTCAATAAAATTCCATTATCCATTAAATCATATAAATAGATTTTATTATATTGTTGAAAGCATCTATTAACTCATTTAAATTCTTAAGTGGATGATATTTTAATTGACATATATATATATGCATAATAGTATGTTTATCTGTTTATGAAATTCAGTATTGATTCAGTTGTTTATTTTATTTGTATCAAGTATGTGTTTTGTTACTAAGATGAAAAAATAAATATATTTAACCGCAATGGGTTATGAAGATTGTTTAATAAAGAAAATCAACAAATCAAAATCAATTCAATATTACATTTAAAAAAAATGAGTTTCACTAGTAGTAATTCTTATTCTATACTAGTGAATGTATGAAATGGAACTTTGTGTATGTTTTCAACTTATTTTTTTTACTCTAATGTATAACAACAATTTCACATACGATCAAATCTATCATATTCAAACCTCTTGATGAACATTCTATATTTGAACAATTTGCTGAGAGTTTATTGATTAACACTTTAAACTTCAATTAATGAGGTTTATAGTGTAAAGCATCATATTAATTTATTAGTGAGGTAGTTTCATACTTCAAGTCATAACTCTCCAGTTGAATATTGCAATTTTTATCTTGAAGTTGGTTAATAGAAAAATTAAATTAAAGACATGTGAATTGATGTTTCAGAAATATTTGCCAACTATGCAGAGGGTTTTCTTTATAAAATGAAAAAAATATTTTATAGTTGAATTCATGAGTCACCATGTAATACATGGAAGCAGTGGACGTCACTGGATGATGCGCATTGCCGAGGAGTCCCATACTAGGACGAAACAGACGTCCATTTATTAATCTTATCGACCTTATTAAATATCTAGTATCTCATTATTCTGTTTCTTATCCGTATTCAGTGTAGTTACAAACTCGTTTTAATTGTTTAATATGGATGAAATTTTATGTATAAGAATAGTACTAATTTCAATCTTAGACCGTTTGCAGCTGATGAGGCACCTTGAATCATGATAGATTAATCGTATTTTGAAGATTTCATCCTTTACGTTTGATTTTTAATTGTTGAAAACATGTGCAGAATACCTGTTGGTTCTAATACGGTTTCTTCAGTCATGTTGTTTCACTCCTATATACAATATCTGTGACTTATGCATAATAGATGTTGTACTCATTTAGTGAGTAGCGTAAGCAAAGTCAGCCTATGATGTCAATTTCCTGAAGACTAGAGGATCTCAAGAGGTTTCCCTTTGTAATAACGGTAATAATTTAGGCACAAGTTAATCTTAGTCAAGAATCTTGATGGTTCCAGTGGTACACCATATTAGGTGAATTTCAATGACATAAAAAGTAAAACAGTTACTCACCATTGCTTTTGGATAATATTATCCACTATTGTATCCTGATTGTTGCCAGTAATATAAATTATTTAACCCGAGTTCAGTGATTAGGAGCTAACGCTCCCACCGTACGATTATTGGCCGGATCGTTAGTGAACAGTGTTCAGGGTTTCGAAACTAAGATGAAAAAAACTAATTAGTTCTTCCTGAATTTCATCACACATCTATTCAGTTGTAAGTTGATAGATCTTATGTTATTAATAAATTGTACTGGTTATATAATTTTCTATTTAATATTTATCATAGTGCATCATCCAATTAAAAATAGACTACATTCTCATATTCTCTTTTGTAGTTACATTCACAAGTTGTTAATAATATATTAACATGTCTTTTGGCTTTTGGAATGATAGCAGTCTATAGTTGGATGCTTATTGAAGGAATACATCTAATGAATATTTTATTCCTAACATTTATTGTTAGACGGTTTCGTTTCACTTGCTATAGTATCATTGGTTGGGGTAAGTTATTCAAAATGCTTTTTTAATCATGTTTTAGTTATGAAATGATATTTTTAAAACTTTAAGCTTTCGGTTTATCAATTATATTTACAGTAAGTCATCCTAAAGCTCATTCACAGAATAAGAAAATTATATCTATGCCAGAATAACTGTTGGCATAAAACTGAATCATTTCTATGAAACATAATCTCAAACAATATCTGATAACTTCAATAGTTGAGATCATGAGTCAATTGAAACCAGACCATCATAGAAAGCACTGAGCGACCGTTTCGTTCTATTGTGGGATATCTCAGCAGTGCGCAGTGACCAGTTGAGTTCAACCGGGTCTGTTGTGAGATAGTAACTCAGTGAAAACATTGGTGGATGTGTAGCTCAGTTTCTTGGATTAGTTGGAGTTAGACATTAACGCCGTTGGATGTCTTCAAGTTCAATGGTCTAGAGGTTAAGCGTTCGTGCGCAAAACCGACATGTACTGAGTTCGAATCCCGCGGACGGGATTGTGGATGCGCACTGCTGAGGAATCCCATAATAGGACGAAACGGCCATCCAGCGCTTTCAGGTATTCCATGATCGTCTAGCTTCAATTAACCCATGATCTAAACTACTGGACTTACTATAATATCTACAAAAACTCCTTCTAATATCCGATAAGCTAAATCATAGCGTTCTTGGTTGTGTATTTGAACGATTAAGATCCAGTCCTTTAATGGGTTGTAAGATTCCCGCATACTGACTGTTATAGATACACTATTAAGTTTAATCCGTTCATTTATACGATAATCAGCAGTCATGAAACATCAAAAGTACTTTGATATGTCTAATTGTAGTGAAATAATGTCTCAATAAAGCATTTCTACTTTAAAATATATGATGTATTTCATCACAGCCTTAGTAATTTATTTCATGTGTTTTGTTGAATTTTGTAGGGATTCCATCTGCATTGACGTGTTCGTGGGCAACCGCAAAATCAGTGAAATTAGGACATATACAGTAAGCTATTTTATTTGTCCTTCCTAATATCCATTTCTAATATATATAGAGATGTTATTAGTTGGAGCCAACCAGTGGAGAGCCTTTAACATATATTTCATGCAAGTTAGTACTCATAAAGAGCTCGTATTCCCAATCTTAAGGAAACGATAGTCCTTCTAGGATTTCTCAAAACATTAGATGCTGAACATTAAATGTTATTTTGACCAAGATAAGCTAAATAATTTCAAACTAAAGGTATGCCACAACTTGGTTGAAAGATGTATTTCTCAAAAACGTATTTCGACGTTTGTTTCAGCAGCATACGACATGCAAAAAGCCAAACTTTACTGAATAGACTTATGTAATGTTTATATATATTAGTTATTTGAATATTTGCATTGTTTTCTAGGATTATAAATGATCAGGCTCTTTTTGGTGTACATACATCCTGTGCGGATCTCCTCGAAATTTCTATTAGGTTACTAGCACTTTTCAAGTACAGTCCCAAACAACAATGGGAAGATTCAAATAACCAATATTTTTGCACTGGACTTCACCCCACTGCATATGCCAGTGGCTTTCTGGATTCAGTAGCTGAGTGGATAACGCTGTGACATTTGAAGCGAATAGTACTGGGTTTGATTTCTGTGGTGAACATGAACTCTAGTATGTATATACATTCAGTTGAAGAGTTCCAAGTAGGAATTGGATTCCACTACGATCTACTATTCAATTCTCCTTTAAAATATACTTCTGTAATCAATTTGTTGCTTACCACATTAAATAAAAATCCTTCAATATTGAAAGACTTTGTTGCCCACCTACAAATTTAATAAGAACTGGATCGTGAGAAACTAGTTTAATTTAATTGTCAGAATTATTAATCAACCAACAAACATCAAATTTCTAATAGAAAAATACATAACCGAACATTATTCAAACATCGTATTTAACTCTTCGGAGATTATGAGATAAAACGCCTAAACTTCTACTGAATAACACATTTGTTTACAACACTGAATAAAGGATATTGATAAAGTCATCGTTAGTTCCTAGAAATCGTCTTTAGAAACTAACTGCCAAAAAGTACTTTGATTATTCAGTATTCATGGAAAACCTCTTAGGAAAACTCAGGAGAGAACTCATTGTAGTCAACTAACTTCAATCAGTCAATTATCAACTAAAGTATTTTAATCAACACATCCACCATTGTCTTCAGAGAGTTACTATCTCACAAAAGACCTACCAAACCCAGACAATAGGATGAAAGAGAAGTCCAGTGCTTTCAGGTTTCCATGATGGTTTAGCTTCAACTAACTCATGATCTCAACCATTGAAATTACTGTAATATCCACAAAAACCCTTTTGATATAAAGTATTTTACCCTAGAAATTCTGAAATCTCTAGGTCACCTATTTATTTATAGATACCATTGTTTTGTAATGTTTAATTTAATCTTCAAAGTACAATTTTTATATATTTCGTATTTTATTCCCGTCTGGAGTATAAGGTTTATTCAATTATAATGTTCAACACGTCAAAGTCTGAAGATTTCAAACTACAAAATCTATCATTTCACTGCTTATATAATACCAGTAGTCTTTGATAATCCCAAACAAGATTAATATAATTCTTTTCCCCAATAGAATAATAATTTCATTAATCTGTTTATTTGAATATAAACAATCTTTAAAAAACGATGATACAAACAAATTTTCTCCTTGTTTTTCTTTTTATTTCTATCAATGTATTTACTTCTGTTCTATGTATTATATATAAATCTAGTCTGTGGACGGAACCAACTACATCTGACCCTGAAGGGATACTTGTTGTTACATCAATTCTTATTACACTTGCAGTAAGTAATTGTGAATGAAGCTGTGTGTTTTCTTATTTATTTGAAAATATTAGAACTACTTAAACTCAATCATTAACATTTCCATAAATATATGATTTCATATATTTAACTCCTGTGAAACTATTCATTCAAATCAGGATAATAGTTATTAGAAATTTTATGTATTCTTACTCATAAATTACGAAATTATTCATGGATACCCATTAAATGTTTGTAATATTCATTTAAAAGGGAATTGTTAATAAATACTGTATTTTTATCGTTAATTAGATTACAGTAATTCTTTATATCATGAATCAATTGAAACTAGATTATCATGGAAAACCTGAAAGTACTAGAAGGTCGTTTCATCTTATTGAAGGACTTCTTAGCAGTGCTTATTCACGATCACGCCTAGGGAGATTCGAACTAAAGATCTGTCCGTCTCTAGACTACCGAGTCAGCATCCAACAATGTTAATGTCTAACTTCAACTAATCTACAAAATTGAGCGACACATCCACCATTGTCTTCAGTGAGTTACTATCTCACAACAGACCTAGTTGAACTCCACTGGTCATTGATTCTCACTAGAACTCCGGGAAATATCTCTTGAAGCCAGTTACTAAAGAGCATATGTTGATTAACATCAGAAGGATTGCTTACAGGTTTTCCATGGTGTTCTAGCTTCAATTGACTCATGAATTCAGTTATTAAACAAATAATAGTTGAACATAGTTTACTACTACTCCTACTTATTATTATTATTATTATTATTATTATTATTATTATTATTATTATTATTAATGGCGTACTGTTTATTATGCAACTCTTATAATCAATGAGAAATCAATTTCGAAAAAGAACTCTGATGCTCTTGAGTGACTATAACAATATGTTATGGACGTTATATTGGACAGTGGCCAAAATAAATGCGGCCGTCCAGTGCTTCCACGTTTTCAATGGTGGTCTAGCTTCAACTGACTCATGAGTTCAATCTGTGTCAAAATAAATGCGTTATTTGAGAAACAATCAATAATCTATACAGTGGCTTAAAATGACAAAGATTATTGGTCAGATTAAATTTTTTTGTTTACTTGAAATAGTTTAACACATTGTTTCTACTTCATTAAAATCCTATAGGCATAAAACCAATGACTATATGTATTGTTAATTACATAATCTATCAACAACACAAATTATGGTTGATCGATGTTCATAAAATGATTATATAATCAACTGAATTTCAGCTCAATACCACCAGATGTATTTTGAAGTTTTACATAATTAGTTAACATAAACAATGTTGGATACCAGCCGACTTAGTGGTCTAGAGGTTAAATGTTCGCGCGCGAGACCAATAGATCCTGAGTTCGAAACTCGTGAAGCGTAGTCATGGATGCTCACTACTGAGGAGTCCCATAATAGGACGAAACGGCCATCCACTGCTTCCAGGTTTTTTATGGTATTCTAGCTTCTATTGACTCACAATCTCAACTACTGGATTTTACATAATACTTAAATCAAAGCTTAATCTTCTGATTTTTAGTGTTTTATATACATAATCTACCTATCTGATTATAATAAAACAGTATCACTGAATTAAAATATTTTTAAAATCTGATTTTAAGTCAATGTTCATACTGAAATTATTTATATCTAGCCAAGCATATGCTTTATTGCATAGTACCTTGTATGATATTTTGTTTTCATTGAAACAGAATTGAGCACATTATGTAACTGTGTAAAATTTTGTATTGTTGAAGAAGATGAGATATATTTTTTCTTCTTGTCTAGTTATACAAAACATAATTATAAGAATCTTATGTAAACAATATTTGTTTATCAAGTAAACTTATTAGCAGTTCTAACATTTGTAATAGAAATATGACTAATGTATGAGACATAAATATCAGGTGAAAATATAATTTATGGACGACTTTTGACAGACACTAGACTGACCTTGACAGTGTCCACCTAATAACTAGGACAAAATGAGGGTTATAAATTAGTGTGAGGAATTCGAATTATGATTTACAGTTGATGATTAAGGTTAGAAATTAAATTTAGGGTTATCATCACGAACTGACATTAGCTATAATGCCAAAATTCTATTTACTGAAATGGATGAGTAAATTTCACGCCAAAATGTGAGATCTGTTATCTTATATCTGATTGGTTCATCCATAAATTACAGTCTCGCCAAATATCGTTTTGTAAAATTATAAAACACATTTAACACTCCATAAGTAATGAGTTGTTTAAAATGAAATCAAGGAATTAATAGTGATAGAAGCTCAGTGAGTTTATAAATGAAATATCAAATATCTATATACATGGAATAAAATTAGATGTAAGAAAAGTATATAATCTGATTTAATGATCTGTTATTTATCGGTTGAATAATATTAAATGAGATTTATTCGCTTAAACTATATACTTACTACTTAATAAACTTTCATCAAAGAAGTACGTTGAAGAATAATAATAAATTAGAAGACAATGGATTATTTTTTTTAAAACTATGATTGTTATTCGTACATAATAATCAAAGATGAATGAACTACAAGTTGATGAAGGACAGATGGGGGTAAACATTATGTTTTTGATTGATTTATTTAAACACATAAATAATGGTACGAAGGGGCATCAGATACATATACGACACACAATAATAATGAGAATGTGAAAAAATAAAGAATGTAAGGTGCGTATAAGAAACAGACGTACAAACATGAACAGAAAATAGTGTATGATAGTGAAATATTAATAATAATGGGAGGGACAGTTCACTTAGCAAAATTACAGCCGCAGATAATTTTTTCAGTTACAGAAGTTAAGTCTTTTTTTATGAAGAAAGTAAATTAAAGTTACAGCAGGATCGCCACTGGCTTCTATTCTGAGCCATATCTGACAACGTCTCTGGCCATTGTGTTGCATTATCGCCGGGACTTCAATCAGGGAGTCGCGAAGGACCTACAGAAGCCGGTCCTGTACAGCCTTCTTTCATACCACGACACCATGCCATACACTGACCATCTCTCCGCTTTATCCAACCAGTCCCAGAGTCGGCAAATAATGCACGACGTGGAATTCTCTGGGACCACGTTCGTAGAACATGTCCAAGACACCGAAGTCGGTGTTCCAAGATGGTGACACCAATTGCATTATCGTCTCTGTGCCCGAACACACGATGCCGGACCTCTGAATTACCAATATGGTGTTGCCACTGGATGTTGGCAGTCCTTCTGAGACAACGATGATCAAACAAAGAGAGTCGTATAACATCCTCAGGTTTCACAAGCATAGGGAAAAACTGCTTTCACCGACGCGTTGTAGACCCGACCTTTTACAGCCAGACTAATATCACGAATGCACCAAAGATGGCCCGGATTGGCATAAGCCGATCTGGCTATCACTATACGTGCATTAATCTCATCACTCACGCCACCATCAGCACCTATGCAGCTACCTAGATACACGAACTTCTCGACTACTTCTATCTGCTCACCATCCAGGGTGAGTGCAGGATTAGAATCCTGCCAGTCTTGTACAAGTACTTTGCACTTCGAACGTGCAAAGCACACACCGTACCTACGGACATTGATTGCCAACTGATTAAGTGCGGATTGCATTATCGCACAGTAAAATAATATCATCCGCATACTCAAGGTCGAAAAATCTTTCTTCAAGCAACAAATTCACACTGCCGTTAGTTACATCCGTCAGAGCTGTTTCCAGAATGTCATCGATGGCAAAGTTGAAGAGGAATGGTGAGATTAGGCAACCCTGCCTAACTTCACTGCTCGAATGGAACAATGGGGAGAGGTGGTTGTATGCCCTCACTCTGCCTGTGGTGTTTGTATATACGGCTTTTAAGATGTTAATAAACTTAGGCACACTCTTTCTCAATAAACAATCCCAGAAAACGGTCCTGTTCAACAAATCGAAGGCAGCCCTGATGTCAAGAAACACTACGACTGTTGGCCTGTGATAAATATGACGGTGTTCTAACATTCGGCGAAGGGTGAAAATATGATCAATACATCCTCGATCAGAACAAAACCAGCCTGCTCCTCACGAGTCAATCTTTCTCGGTTTTTTAACAACCTACGATGTATGACGAAAGCAAATAGTTTGGATGCAATCAGAAATAAACTTATCCCCTGATAGTTCTTGCATGAGTGACGTGAACCCTTTTTACGACAGACATGTGTGTAAAGTAGTATAAGACAATTAAAAAAGTTATTTGAGTGATCTGTTCAAAACAATCAAACAGAATGTTAAAGATTTAGGTGCTACCGAACAAGCGATTCGTAATCATCTAATATCAAACGGCGTTCATTGAAAAGCAGGTTGTTTATTTTTATGATTGCACCAAAACGTGGTGCATCGATATACATTAGTAGTAAAGAATAAACAAAATGGAATGAATATCTGTTTATGATCAACTAGTGCCTGAATGTTTAGTTGAAAGATGAGGTCTTCTATAAACCCAAATGATCACTGATTATGTCTCCGATTGTGACACTACGTGACGTAGATCAAGAATTTTTCGACAACAATTCATATAGTTACCAATTTACATTTGACTAGTGCATATTACTGCAGTCATTGGAAATATCAATGATGTAAATCAAGTCATATAATTGGTTTTTGACAAGAGCGTTCCTAATAATTCAAACAGCAATAGACTGACTCATATACACTTCTCTAGATTTTCATAAACTGTTTAATAAAGCATATACTGTAGTTCAAATTTATGGGCACAAAGTGAATTCGCATCATGAACTGACTTTTATTAAAAAAATACTGAAAACGTGGAATAACTTGACAGTTGTTTTCTCCTAGTATAGTTATCCTTTATGAGAAAATTCAAATCCAACAATTTCCACTACACACCATAATAATAATAATAATAATAATAATAATAATAATAATAATAATAATACGAAGACTATTTACTGAAGAAAGAATCATCAATTAACTGAAGATAATTAAATGGATGAATATAAAATTAAAATTAGACCTCAACACAGTGCATTCGATTTTGAGTCATCTTGAATAGTCGCCATTTTGCAACTTCATCGATAGAATTTGATGTCCAATAAGAAGGACCTGACACACATGACATTTGTCACTACACAGTAATCAATCAACTGCAAATTATAATTCGTGCCCAAAATAAATCGGTTATGTATAATTCATCAGTATGTAGTAGGAACTAGCAGATGACTGCACGAAGTTGCAATGCTTCCATACCCATTCTTAAAAAAAGCTTAACAATTATGTTTTGATTCGAATAAGTAATTAATGCAAACCACTTCCTTCCCAGATTAAGCTTACGAAGAAAATATCAGTAAAAATATTATCAGAGATAAGAACATGCACTTCCCCCCCTTATTCTATCATGAATGGATTATTATTGACATATGCAGGTGGAGACATCATAGAAGACGTCTTATTGATTTTGATATGTTATAAAAAGAAATTTACTTCGTATAGGGTTAGGGTAAGCAAACAACAAAAAACACTTTATTTGTATGTATAACTGTACAATGGTAAGGTAAACATAAAATACACTAGGAAGTAGCCCTATTGATTTTGTGTTTAACTTAACATCATCAAATCCTTATTTTTAAGGGAAAAGAAATGAAAATATTCACATGTTCATCTATTATTACAGTCGTATTGTTTTTTTATGATTCTTCTTTTCAATTTTTGTTATTAGGTAAATTTTTTTATTATGTCCATCACATTATTCATGCTATTGACAAAACTTCATAGACAACCAACTGGAATAGCGGGTAGTCGAAAAACAAAAGTCAATAGAACAATTGAACTACAACGTCAGCGTTCACGTGGGATACGTCAACTAAGATCATTATCGAATAATCCAATTACACTAAGTAACAAATTAACCACAATAAAAATGACAGGGTCAGAAAGAGTAAACAAATCTCAGGTTGAATTACAATTAAACGATAAAACTGGTGTACAGCAAGAAAGGTTTAAAACAATAGACAATAACAACAATAATTCTATTACTACTACTGCTAATACCAATAGTAATAATCATAGCAAAATTAATATCACTGCTGAAATAATTAATCTAGATGCACAAACACCAATTATACCACTAAAAACAATCCTAGAAACAACTTCAACAATAAAGACAGCAGGAGATAATATGCAGTTAACAACAGGCAAGAAGATGAAAACGAAATTTCTAAAATCATCTTCAAAAACTTCAAATGCTCCATCATATTCAGCAGCTGCAAGTATCACTTCTTCCGTAAATTCAAATGTTTCAGGAACTCAGCCAATTAAATCTGATGTAACAATTACTATGGATGATAAAGTTATGAATAATAAACATACAAACAAGTGTGATAAAAAAGTTTGTAAAAACTCTTTAATTAATCAATGGAAAACCAGCAAGTATTTCCAACGCAAAAGTATTGACAGTAGTTTCCTATCTTCCCCTGCAATACGTATAAAAGAGATTAGGTAAATGTTTCATCTTTTTTCTTGAAAAAAAGTAGGAATGAGAGATATAAACAGTTTCTTGGTTTGTCGATGGAATTATGAAAGGAAGATTCTCAGTTATTCAAGCAACCAAACATAAATTATCGTATCTAGGTTTTAGTTAAAGATATTTTTTTTGGGAGTAGTTTATTGCCAGGTTGCCTACATTGGATTAGGCTAAGTGTCATTTACACCTATATCGTAATGCTTGATATATAAGTACTTAAATAACAAAATTATATTTCCATTATTACCCATGTTGAAACCCTTAGAAGTTTACTAATAATATCAGACAGAACAAATGAAAAATAATCCTAAATTCTTAAAATCATTAAAGAGTATATTGAATCAAGGGGTTTATGACTGTTTGGCAGTTGGAATGTATGACCTAACACTGATACTGATACTACTTATGTATTGAAATATATTTTTCATATCAAATTGTTGTGTTCCTTGCAGATGAAGCTGTTGATATGTTGGTTTTACACCGTTGAAATTCATTTTTCTCTACACAACGTCATATCTCTAAGCGGTTTCACACATTTCACTTCGTGTTGTTTACTTGTATCATCCCATTGTTATTTAGGACTACAAATAATCAGTCTCTTATTGGCATATGTGCATCTTGTGCGTATTGCCTCGACATTTCTTTAATTTGCAAGCATCATAAGAAAAGATGGTTAGTGGCTAGCAGTGGAATCCAGTCTGACGCGCGTTTCGTCCTATTTGGTACTCGTCAGCTGGATCTACCTGCATCTCAGAGTTAATGTTTACTCTGGGGCTCGAAGCCAGTACCGTATTCATTAGTTTCTGTATATTTTCCAGTATATGTATGCAAACTCTTAATATCACTAATTCCCTGTCGTTTTTCTAAAAAAACGAAATACCCCAAAACTTTCTTTTACAGGAAAGCCATCAAAGCTATAATATTTCTGATGCCATTGCTGGGTTTTTCACAGTTAATATTCTTAATACCTTATAGTAAAGAATTCGGTAGAGTATTTGATTATATCAACGCAATTATGCTTTCTACTCAGGTAAGATTATATTAGGTTGTTTATTGTGTTTAATTGTTAAATAATTTGAACATAATACATGATAGTAAGCTAGTGAGTCAGTTAACAAAACACTTCATACTTCTGAATGAACTACGCATTCTCCATTAAAGTTGAGGTATATTTTGAGTTATATTAATGGCAAGTATTACGTTGCTTTAAATAGATTTACAATAAGTAGCTAAGCTGGAAAATTAAATCTTCCAGTCATATGCTGTTTAATCGTGATCTGTGAGCTAAATCAATGGAAATGAATAATGAGACATTTTACAGTCAATTAATTATATCTCACATTAGAAATACAATTCATCAAAGTGAATCTCAATAGTCATAATTTATCCGATTCAGTTCAAGACTTCTACTCCCTAGATTTAGTCATAATTCTTGCTGTGGATAAGTTTTAAACCCGAATAAGACGGTTACCAGTTCAACTTGGTTTTTAGTGATTCTCTAGCTCATGTTTGAAAACAACTTTTGTTTAAAATAAAAATTTTAAAAAGTCAAAAATTAAGATTGGGAAACAAATCAAAACCTTTTGAATATTACATCACTACAGTGTTTATTCTACTATGTCATCTTTTGGTGCTTTCCAAATATATTTTTTTGTAAATCTAAAGGTTCGACACGGCCAACTAGTCTCAGAAGTTAACTTTCAATCAGTGAATCACGATTTCAAGCAACTCAACAGTTTGATTTATAGACTCGGTTAGTAAAACTACACACTTCACTAAAGGCATTATTTGATTGCTGTGTTACATTAAGCACTAACAAACATCTTCCGTATCATTTAAACGTTGCTCCGCAAATGATTGACAGAGCTACTGGAATCCACCAACAACAGTTGTGTCATGATCAACTCTATTCAACAAGCTTAAATTCATTGGTTGTATGAGTAGTTTATTTATTGTATTTATCAGAATCCCATCGATCGTTAACACTTTACTACTAAAAAGTTTGACAATGACTAGCAATATAAATCGGAAAATACGTTTTTCTTTATTTGAGACTCGTTAGCTGTATGTACCTAAATTTCAGTGCTTATTCTCAAGCACTGTGACTCTAACCTGGTACCTTTCACTTCATACGCTAACACATTATCCGACGAGCCACTGAGTTCAGATATCCGCTGATTTAAGCAACGGAGCAGAATTCGATTTTTTTTCAAATCTTTGTTTCTTCTCCGTACGATTTGTAGAATAGACTAAGGACAGAAATAAATGTTACTATTTTACAAGCTTTGAATTAAATGAAACAACGTCCCGAAAAATAGCTTCCATAGTTTGTTAAGGCTTCTTGTTTCTCTGTTCACATCAATAAGCATACATATAATTTCATAAGTATAAAATACTCGTTTTCGTATATAATGCATTAACAATAAAGAAAATCAGTAATTATAATAATTATTTATTGTTTCGTTTAATTTGAAAAGGGTTTCTGGGTTACGTTAATTTATTGTTTCCTAAATTCCGAAGTAAGTTATTGATAAAGTTTTTTTAAAGTGTGAATGAAAATTTGTTTTACGACGAATTTTTTTTCTTTATTCTTTCTCCCTATTTGGTTTAATTGAATATGTTGTAAAATATAAACAGATGTACTTTTCACATTTGAACCTCACTTGTTTGATACATGTATGTCCCAAATACTTATTTATTTATTGGAACACATAAACATTGGTACAAGAGGGCACCAAATATATATGCGCCATACAATAACAATGAAGCCAGTAATAGTTATCATTGATTTGTGTATGGGCTGTGATGCTGACTGGGGTCCCAATCCGAAACAAGTGGTTTCCTAAGGGAGCCATACTCCGAGCCTTTGACCATGAAATCAAATCCACAAAGCAGGGGTGCAACGTTAGGAAATGCAGTCCAATGGTAGTCGGTGACTAACAATAAGTTAATACAACATTTATCCATTTAGGATCCAGGAGCCCATATGCAGCATTGGTTTGGAATCAGGGTTTTCCAACTCCCCTATGTGGATCCTCTGTATCCACCAACCCGGTTAATGCGTGAAGCATTCGCTTTTTATCCTCTCTATTTCGTAAACAACACACATGACGCGCAGTGGAAATGGCGATTGAGCCAACTGGATTTAGATGAGCGTTAATCAATATTTATAGTCTCATATAAAAAGCTACAAACATCTAATGAATAGGATAAGAAGTGTACAAACATAAACGCTCGTATAAAAACAGTCAGGGTTGATAAGTGAATAATGAACAGGTTTAAAACATGATTGAAGAAGAATGGATAAATTAGCCCGTACAGAAGATAGAATAAGTTATATGGGCTTAACATAATAACTGACACTACATTATCAATAAAATTTGAATTCCCTAATAAACACTAACCATTATATAACTGTAGATAGAGTATGAATAGGCGAGCTAACTAGTAAGTGATCTAGATTCACGGATCACTATCAACTACTTTCAATTACTTTATTTTGCAAATGTTTCACCTATTCAAATGGAATCACTAACTTATCTTTCTCACAATTTTATTCTCATATCAAATTCAGGAAATGAATATCAGATATCCAGACATTATCATCTTATGTATGTCATAAGTTATCTCGAAAAAAATTTCTGTCTGATCTTTGTAACCATCTTTTTTTATTGTCATGGTATAAGCACTGACATGTTTTTGTTGGAAATTAAAAAAACAATTACGCTCCTACCATCCATTTTTCTACTCTGATCTTCTATTTATTCCAATCGATTGCAGTGATCTCGCTTAACCTAATGAGCTGTAAATACTTTGATTTTCATTTAAAAAAGAAAAATCCGGTTACATCTTGTTAGAATTTACATTTTTATACCATTTAGATACAACCATTTTTCTGTATTCAAATTAGATTGAATTATTTAAAATAATTATGTTTCAATGAAATCTATTCTACTTGGCTAAAATAAACCGCCCCTCCTTTTTTCTTTCCCCTAGGAAACTATATTTTTGGTAAAGATTTGTTTTAACTTTTTTAATTTTAAATAGCATTCTATTGTAAAAAGATATTTACATTAAATTATACTTTTATCAAGTTAATGTATTCAGCATTGAACTATATTAGAATGTGCAATAATAATAAAATTAAAAACACAAAGTTCAGTGAAGGAATCTCGTTTCAACGAATTGATTGTCAAGCTGTACAATCGTATATATATATATATATATATATATATATATATATATATATATATATATATAAACGATTTGTATTTTAGCCGTCTTCTTATCAGTTACATACATACCAATATTTTGGTAATTAGAAATAAGTAAACGAATTAGTTTGTATGTATTTGAAGAGAAGGGAACAACACTTTTTAAATTTATCACATTCTGCATGTACTATCATTCTGACTTTGTTTAATGATGTGAAGGGGGTAAACTGAATGAAATAATTCAATTGATTGATAATTCCTATATATCAGAATGGGTTTTTTGGAGATTTTTAGAAATTTCACGGGTTGAAATCATGAGTTAATTGAAGCCGTCCAGTGCTTCCAAGTTTTCCATGGTGTTTTAGCTTCAACTGACTCATGATTTCAAACATTTTAATCGTTTTAATCATCTTATTATATTCACTAAATCTATTGTTATTATTCGTATTACGTAATCTAGTATTCCAATCTTTTTATTACGTCATCTTGGTTATTCGTGTTCACATTTCTTCACGGAATTAGTACTTTAACAAATCGTTTTCATATATATACGATTGTACAGCTTGATAATCAATTCGTTGAAATTTGTATTTTTAATTTTTAATGTTTAAACGATAGTACATGCAGAATGTAATAAATTTAAAAAATGTTGTTCCCTTCTCTTCAAATACATACAAACTAATTCGTTTACTTATTTTTAATTTAAATCATGAGTCAGTTGAAGCTAGACCACCATTGAAAACCTGGAAGCAGTGGACGGCCGTTTCGTCCTAGTATGGGACTCCTCAGCAGTGCGCATCCACGACCCCGCACCACCCGGGGCTCGAACCCAGGACCTACTGGCTTCGCGCGCGAGCACTTAACCATTAGACCACCGAGCCGGCGTCCGACGGTGTTAATGTCTAACTTCAACCAATCCACGAAGTTGCGCCACCATATACCATTGTCTTCAGTGAGCTGATATCTCACAACAGACCTGGTTGAACTCCACTGGTAACGGCTTCCCACTAGAAATCCAGGAGTATCTCTTGAAGTCAGTCACTAGTGAGCAGATGATTATTATCAGAAGGGGTTTGTGGAGATTTTAGAAATTTTCACAGAGGAGTCCCATACTAGGACGAAACGGCCGTCCACTGCTTCCAGGTTTTCAATGGTGGTCTAGCTTCAACTGACTCATGATTTAAATCTGTGAAAATTTCTAAAATCTCCACAAACCCCTTCTGATTATTTCTAATTATCAACATATTGGTATGTATGTAACTGATAAGAAGACGGCTAAAATACAATGAATCCCTATTCATATTTAACAACAACATCTTTGAAATATTCCCATATTGTAAATTTAGAACAACATATATTAGCGAACAATATTGTTTTCGATTAGATCTTCATCAGGCTTTACTCTAATATACAGTAATATTTATATGCATATACGAAATTATTAAACCAATCAAGGTACTTTATAAATCAATGATAACAATGGAAACGATTACATAATAAGTGAAAAGTGAAAAGTAACACCCTTATCTCTCCCCTGGCCTTAAGTAATAAATGAATTTATTTATACTTTTTTCTAACTTTCTCTTCGTTTATTTTTTTTCACCCCCCTCCTACCATTTTATTTTATTTTCTCTCAAATATACGTTTCACGGTCCAGTTATCTGAACATTTCTTATTACGTCATCTTATAATTTTATAATTGTTATCTCATGGTCTATATTTTCTCCTAATCATTGACCTATTTCCGATTATGTAACATTGATTTGAGCCTTTATTATTCTTATCAAAAAATAGTACAACTGTCATCACACTATCAATTTGTACTTTTCACTTTTCGCTTATTATGTAATCGTTTCCATTGTTACCATTGTCTCATCAAGTACCTTGATTGGTTTAATAATTTTCATATATGCATATAAATATTACTGTATATTAGAGTAAAGCCTGGTGAAGATCTAATCGAAAACAATATTGTTCGCTTATATCTATGTTGTTCTAGATCTCAATATCAACAATTCGATAATAGAATTAATGATATAATTGTAATATCCGAATGAGCAAGAAATTAAATTTTTGATATTTAATGACTTAATGTAACCTATAATAAATACACTTTTGTTATATCCTAATGAGTAGATAAATTGTATTGCTGACGTTTCGTCAATTGATGCAAGCCACTTCTTCAGTATAAAGAAATAACCGATGTTAAATTAACACAAGTTTAAATAATACAAAGGGATGACAGAGGATATAACAAAAGTATATTTATTATTAACTCTATCCAATGCTGAATTTATTTGAAACGATCAAGTCTAACCTTGGTATGGATAACTATCAATGAAACCCAGTTCTTCGAAGAATACATAAATTAAAAAAAGTCAAATTAACGCAAATTTAAATAGTGAAAAAGAATAGAACAAAACTATTTAGTACAGTCAAAGACATGTCTAACAAAAATCACATTAATCCGAGTGATATGATATTAACTTATCTAGACCTGCATCTCAGAGTTGATGTTCACTCCGCGATACATGTACATCCAGCTGACGAGTCCCGAATAGCACGAAACGCGCGTCGAACTGAATTCCACTGTTAGCCACTATCGATCTTTCCTTATTAAGCGTAATCCATTGATATTTTCTTAATAATGATATCTTCCTTGTATTTTCAAATCTTATAATCTGTCCAACTTGACAATATCTCTTTCATCATTTGTTTTGTCTCAAGGTTCAACGTGTCCTTCGTACAAGATGGCGTATCTTATGTCCAACTTTAAAAACTCAATTATCAGAACGTATTCAACAAAAACAATCATTTATAACAAATCCAATATTATTATCAAATAATAATTATGATATAGAACAACCATAATTTTAATTATTACCGAGATAAGATCATTTAATCACCAGTATTGCAATGTTCTCATTTGTTTCTATCTTATATTAATTATGTAATCTAATACTGAAGACTTGAAGTTATACATTTACAGATAATACGTTCAAAATGAAATCTCGATCTATATGAAGTTTATTACACTACTATTGATTCTCCTACATTTAGATTCCTTTGTATTTTATTCGGACATTTCATTATGGTGATAATGATTTAAATTTAGGATTGTAAAGCTGCTTCTAATTTCATCTTTGTTTTCTTCAAAAACTTCTTATTAAAATATTACAATCTATTTTTCACTTTTCATTCTAATGGTATCATATTCTCTAAAGTAGATTATTTGATTCTAGAACTTTTATTATAGTTCTGGATGATAACATCATCACCTTCCAATTTGTATAGAAGTGAACAGTATGACAGAAACATTCATTTCCATATAAAGTATAAACTGATAATAATAATGTTATTTCGAACAATAAAATAATTCAATTTATCTTTCAATCTTCACTAGCGCTTTCACTACCTTTCCATTTACAATTTCTATTACATCAATGTCATTTGATATATTTGTCAATTTACTGAAATAATTTTACTGTTTATTATTCGAAATCCCTCTTCATTCATATAATATTCTATAATAATAAATATTTCCTACAACATTCAAATTAATATCAGAGGGAATTTTGTGGATAGTAACTTATTGAAAACAATGATGGATGTGTCGCTAGATTTCGTGGATTAGTTAAAGTTAGACATTAACATCGCTGGATGCCAGTTTAGTGGTCTAGAGATTAAGAGCTCGTGCGCGAGACCGATAGGTCCTGGGTTTGAACCACGCGATGCGGGATAGTGGATACGCACTGACGTTGATTCCCACAGTAGGACGAAACGGTCATCCAGTGCTTCCAGGTTTTCCATTGTGGTCTACCTTCAATTGACTCATGATCTCAATCATTAAAATATTCAAATTGTTAGACTATCTTTAATAGAGATTCCTACAAAATACACTGTAACTTATTCCTGATAATAACGATAATGTGTGAAATCAATTGTTTACATATTGAAATTTGAGAGGGGTGAGATATATTGTGTGACACCTTATACAGGACATAGTGTAGAGGAATATGTTGTAAGTGCATTATTCCTCTGGTCAAACTTCTACCTACATGTTCCTGTCTAGATCATTTCAGTAAACGTAGTAAGCCAGTAGTAATAAAAGCTCTCTGTACAGTGTTTATTCTTCAGTTCTTTAAAGGTGGGTTAATGAAGCGTTTACTAGCGTTCATAGTTACTGATTTAGACAGTAAATCATATAACAGCGAAAGTTCGTTCCAAGTACCTCAGTAATACACATTCACAACCAAATATGTGTTAAAACACATGTGCTCATTAGTGGTCTAGCTTCGATCGATTCATAAATTAAACTATTTAAACCACTACAATCTCTGCGAATTCCCATTCTGATAAAACATTGATCATTATAAAAATTGTTTATGGTTGATCGTTCTAGATCATGGATAGAATGAAACTGTGTGTTGTCGACGGTGCTTAACAAATTGATTAGATGTTGATATTCTTAACGAGTAACTTAAAGACCTACAAATGGAGATCTCATTAAATTTTAATGGCTCTGTTGTCAGGTTACTTGGAGGTTTTAGAAAAGACTGAAATCAGTCAGCATTGAGGATCAAAAAGCACGATACTAATCAGGACTCGGTGATTAATCACAGTGAAAATCTCAATCTTACAGATTAATTGATCCTTGGATAAGCCAGCGATAATGTTTCAGACTATGAAACTGAATGACGACTGCTCAAGTCCTACGGTGAAAATTAGTTCTCTGAATATCTCAGAAATGAACAGCGAAGGAGAGTTTGCTAGCATGAAAGCCGGTTACAAGATTTCTTGCTGACTACCTTTAATCATCGAATATTTATACATAATACACGTGGCGTTGTGTCCCTTACTCTTAGGGTTGCAATAAAGTCTTGTTAATAATTAAGTCTAGACAATCGAAACTTGTGTTACTATGCAGTGATCGATGAACACATTCAGTGTGTGTTTCCACAAAGCACCGATTAAAACTGAATAAATTCTGTGAATATTCTCACGTTGATCTGTTAATGATCTCAATGAAAACATTATTTTTAATCAGGTTGTTCATCAGTTGGCTTTCTACAACTTTTTAGGTAGCACTTTGGGATTAGGATAAAGTATCTTAGTCTGTTTGCATTCTTTATCTCACTGAATGACTTTATCGCCGTATAAACTACACTGGGACATACATTCACCCAGATGGCTAGTTCCAGGGAAGAGGAAATGAATATTTTGGGTGGCACTGGTAATCAAAATTCAGAAATTTAATAAAACTTCGTGGTTTTTTCAAACGTATCAGGGAATAAATTAGCATGACTGTTAAGAAACCAAGCTGTTGGTTTACAAATGGTATGCAAAAACTAAATTCTAAAGGCAAGTACATTTTAATTGAACTTCATTTATGTTTATTTCTTGAAAAATATTTTGCTCATAAGTGTATCATTGTAACTGCCAAAGTCATCACTCGGCTAAGCTATGCATATCAAGTCAAATGACTGAACAGTAGGCAATCAGTTTGGCATCTTTATGTGAACTATTCAGCTAATTCATATATGTCTCTAACTTATTTTTAAGCAGAAAATTCAATTCCAAATTATTAGTCAATAACACACACATACACACGTTTAAATAAGCACACACCCAAGTGTTCTTGCTTATCTACATAGATCAATTAAGTTTCTTTATATAGCGGAACAAACGAATGCTATATAATGGGTTAAATAAAGAAAACAGGAGCAACGGAAAGATTTCGACATATTTGTTTATTTACTTAATCTTTTTTATTTATTTGTCTTCTTTTTTTGTCTTCTAAAGAACCATACAACCCTTTTAGAGAATCAATTTTGTTTTCTCATAAGTTTTTTTCAAATTGATGGATGTATATTTATATAACACACGAACTAACATTAAAAAAATACTTTACATACGAAATTTCAAGGCACATCAATTTTATTTCCTTTATAGTACTCCTCGTTTATGATTAGACAGTTGCTTCGTTTTTATCTCCGTCAACTAAAACATTCCTAATAGAATTTTTGCCCTTTAGTTAACCAATTGCTTCATACAAATTTTAACTTCAAATATTTAGATACAATTGTATACATAACTGCACGGCACTTCAACAGTATTCACTTTCAAAGTGATTTCATTATTAGAAATCATTCGACACATATTCAATATTTTCATCAACATAGGAGGTTAAAGTTCGTCTCAGTCTTAAGTTCTCTTTACAGGAAGCATGATTCACTTGAAATAATTACTTTCTCTTATCTGTTATTTTTTATAAAAAGCTCTTAATATTTTATGAACTTTCTAACTGTTCCTTACGCAAGTACTAGTAGTTTAGTTCGTATATGTACTAGATAGACTACTTTTTATAATTTATTAAATAATAATCAGGATGAGGGTTTGTGGAGATTGTAGTAATTTAATATTTGAAATCAACAGTCGATTTTAAACTAGACCAGCACGAAATACCTGGAAGCATTGGACGGCCATTTAGTCCTAACATGGAACTCCTTAGTAATGAGCATCCACGATCTCGCACATGGGACTTGAATTTGTTAAAGTTAGACATTAAGATTGTTGGTTGCTGGCTCAGTAGTCAAGAGGTTATGTTCACGCGTGAGATCGAAGGTCCTGGGTTCAAGTCCCCTACGCAAGATCATGGATGCGCAGTGCTAAAGAGTCCCATACCAGGATGAGACAGCTGTTCAGTGTTTTAAGATTTTTCATAGTATCCTAGCTTAAAACCGACTCTTGATTTCAATAATTAAATAATAATCATTATTTTTGACACGATTTGCCAAAGTGAAAACACATAGCTTCCTACTTACTCTTTAGCTTTTAATGATCCTCTAATTAGATTTGTTTCATACTTACAAATTCAATCGATTAAGCAACCAATTCAGTATTTTTAATGGAAGTTGACTTTAGTAAAATCTTCAAAAATTCCTATTTACTCCCTTTTTTAACGTAAGCTATAAGACCAGTCCATTATCTTTGATTTCATTTAAATTTTTAACCACTATTGTGAACTTACTAATTTAATATATCAAGCCGTTAGGTCAATGAATGTTATAAATTTTGCATTATTTATTAAAATTCGTAAAATACAGTGTTATTCTTTGAAAATATTTCGATCAGTTGATTAGCTTAACATTATTTACCGCTTCCGACTCCATCACTGTCATTTATCTCCTGAGCAGAGAATCACTGAGTAAACGTTTGTGCTATATATCTTCCGTTACCAATTAGTTCAATAATTAGTTCATGATTATGTAAATTATCACTTCGTGTATATCAATTTTTTCAGTCATGCGATGAGAAACGAGTTCATTTAAATTGGGTGTTTGACAATTATCAAGTATGAAGTGACACTGGAAATGTGAATAACTGAATATCAGCCCACTGGTCTTTGGACCATATGTTCGCTGCCAAACTTAATGGTCAGTAGTTCGTTTCGTCTACAGTCCATGAAAATTCACGTAAAACAGAGAACTCTTGCTTAATATTTACAAGTTTTCAATGTTTATTCGGCTAAAGACAATCCATAATGTAAAACTGTTTTTAAATGTGATAAAATCCACAAATACTCTGTATGAGCCTCTGTTTTGCTAAAAATAAGTCTTGTATACGGGGCTATGAAAAAATTGTTCAGTTTTGTTGAATCATATCTACAATATTAATCAAATCAAATATTTTCAACTCTCACCACCAATAATAATTTCCGATGATATTTGATAACAGTTTGACACTTATAAAGCTTGTAGTCTAAGACTAGAGCAAATTCCAACCGAAAAAGCACGGCGCTTTGCGATATGAATTTATCTTTGGCCACCTCTTTGCTAACTTTAAGGATTCCATATAATTTTCCGGCGGTTCGTTGCTCATGAAACAGTCAATTCAGTGTTTTACAGCCATTATTGTGCTACTTATTTTGATTTAAGTAGTATCAAATAAATAACTAAGTTACCTTTTCCTATTTTTCACCTCGTGTGTCAGGTGAGTGATGAAGCGTATATTTATATTACGTTATTATAATACTGTTATATTAAATTGTCCAGCATTTTATTCATTTTTAATCAACAATTATCTCCAATTATAAGAGAATGTAGTGAAGAAGAAGGAAATAATGTACAAATATTGGTCAAGTATATATTTCACCCACTGAATTGTTACCTGAATACAGCAACTTACTATGA